AAGTCTGTGCTGCTACAAGAGATATCAACTCTAATCCCTCCACTGTCTTGTTGCTCCTTGCACAATTTCTTCCAGCCTATGACATCCACTCATCTGACTCTAGTTGATTGCTTCCAACGGCTAAGCCTTCAACCTTTCTGAATTTTCTTCACCTTGCTTCTTCTATCCCTGCCTTTAGAAGCCTCCTAAAAAAACTCTTAAACCATGTATTCAGTGAAATTCCTTCATTTCCCTTAACACTTTCCATCATGCTTGTTAAGAGCTTTGAAAGGTTCATGCTATATAAAAAGGAACTAGAAGTACATGTTATTGTAATGCAATTTATCTTCTGTTTCTCTCCATATTCCTACATTTTAATGATTCAAATACGATAACCACTTAAAATGTAATTAACATTTATATAGCACCTTTCACGTTGCGAGCGCATGGGCTTCACATTCACAAAACTTTTACAGCCTTACAAAAATTTACACTAGTATATTCCACATCCTACCTACACCGTGTAAAACATCTAAACCTCTAGCAAAGCCTTGAAAATCCACACCACTTGATATGATTGTGCTTTTTTCTGCTTCAACCAGAAAAGGGCATAAACTCTTTGTGTTTGATTGAAAACTCTTTTTATGCCTTCATGCTCACTAAAGATGTACATTTGTGATTTTGGAAACACATCAGGCAAAACACACAGGAATGAATTATCTAAAAAAAAGTTATTGTTCAATACACTACTTGAGTTTCTAGTTAGATTTCCACAAGAGTGGAATGACTCTACAAAAGGCACTCAGCTCCTTCAAAAATGATCGACTTGACAAATGAAATCATGTATCTACTAAGATTGACAAGGAGGCCATGCAACAGTTATTACTAAATATTTGATACCACCTTTTTAAAACAAAATGTTCATCTGAAGTCATTTACTGAAATTGTAAAATAATTTAAAGTACATTCAAACTTCAGAAATGCAGAATGCTTTTACTCAAATTTGAAAAATCTACTTCTGCATTTTTAAAGTCTCAATATACTGCAACAATCTGATTTATTTTTCTAGATTTATTTTAAAAAGCCCCTATTTTGAATGCTGATGGGGTGGTTAATCAAGGACTCTAAAATCATACCACTAGTTTCCAGACTCCGAAAAGATTCAACACAATTTTCTTGGTGTCAGCTTTAATTCAGTTAGTAAACTCTTGCCTCAAAGTCATAAGGTTGTGGCAAAACACATACGAATAATTTTGTCAAAAAAAAGTTAGTTTTGAGCTCATAGTCTTGGCTGACACTGCTGAGGGAGTTCTGCATTGTCCGAGGTACCATGATTCAAATAAGACATTATAATGGAGCTCTCATTTGCCTGTTCAGGTGAAATTTGCAAAAAGGGAACTGTTCCAAAAGGAAAGGGAGTTTCTCCTAAACTCCAGTTAATAATTCTTCAAAAAGAAATGGGCCCTCACTTCCTGGCTTTTTGTCACACTGCCGTGTGCAAATTGGCTCGTGAGTTCACCGACAAACCACACAGCCACTGCAGCATGCGGTAAATTCCTTTGAAGAACTGAGACAATCAGACCACATGATACTTAACTAGATCAAATGCAAGGATTACGATCAATTATTTGCCTTACACCATAACCCACCAACTTATATAAAACAAGTCCAATGTACCAGTCCATTAATCTGTGATTTTAGATAATGCGACACTCAAAACAATTCACAACGTATAACTGGCATTGTTGTCAGCACAGTAAGAATATACAGTAAATTTCAAGTAAGTCTTATTATTTGGGACCATAGATTTAATATGACTTATTCAAAGTACGAGTTATGTCAAACTTGCATAGAATATAAATTCTTGAACGGGACTTGGACAGATATAAGGTGCTTATATGATTTATACAGATCAGACTTATATGAGTTTTACTGTAGTAGGTAGTAGAGTGTCCTCTGTAGTAGGGGACACTTCTCGTAAAATGCAAATATGTGTAAGCATTCTTGCCATTAAAACACAAGGAATACAGGACATGTTGGTGTTCAAATCCTTACCACTCGGTTAAAAGCCACAGAAACAAATTGAGACAAGAATGTTTGACTTTAACAAACACCTCAGGTTATAATATTTGAAACAGAGTTTCCAACTCAACAAGAACTAGCCTTACATTTGATAAAATGCGCCAAATGTAAGGATTATTAGTCAGTTGCCACAAATATGTTATCTCTGGTTTGGAATAAAAAGAGGTCTTAGGACCCAGAGGAAAGTGTGACAGAAAAAAATCAAAAGGACAGTGGAGTACATTAATTTGATGTGAAACTTAAATCTAGGCTTCTAATCACAAAATGAACAGTCAATCCAACTTTACAGTACATCATATGAAGTCGTTTGAGACATTGCAACGCCGTGATAAGGCGCTGTATCAAATGCAAAGATTATTATCATTATTATTATCATGTTTACCAAGACATTGCCTTAAACTGGAAGCTGCAGCCTTGCAAACCTGCTGTGGCCAGGCTTTTCCCACTGGATTGAATTCCGCAGGGAAAGCTGGGGCTCCAGACCTTGAACTCTGTTAAACCTAAGTGGAGACTTAGCTACAGGGAGAGGAAGGGAGGGGAAGGGAGGGTATGTGTATGTGAGGGAGGGGGGGATATATGAGGGTATGCGAAGGAAGGGAGGGTATGTGAGTGTGTGAGTGTGAGGGAGGGTATGTGAGGGTATGTGTGTGAGGGAGGATATGTGAGGGTGTGAGTGTGTGAGGGAGGATATGTGAGGGTGTGAGTGTGTGAGGGAGGAGAGGGTATGTGAGAGTGTGAGGGAGGAGAGGGTATGTGAGAGTGTGAGGGAGGAGAGGGTATGTGAGAGTGTGAGGGAGGAGAGGGTATGTGAGAGTGTGAGGGAAGGGAGGGGGTGTGAGGGTGTGAGTGTGTGAAGAAGGGGAGGGTATGAGAGGGTGTGAGTGTGTGAGGGAGGGGAGCGGAGGGTATGTGAGGGTGTGAGTGTGTGAGGGAGGGGAGCGGAGCGTATGTGAGGGTGTGAGTGTGTGAGGGAGGGGAGGGTAAGTGAGGGTGTGAGGGAGAGGAGGGTATGTGAGTGTGAGAGGGAGGAGAAGGTATGTGAGGGTGTGAGTGTGTGAGGGAGGGGAGAGGAGGGTGTGAGTGTGTGAGGGAGGGGAGGGTAAGTGAGGGTGTGAGGGAGAGGAGGGTATGTGAGTGTGAGAGGGAGGAGAAGGTATGTGAGGGTGTGAGTGTGTGAGGGAGGGGAGAGGAGGGTGTGAGTGTGTGAGGGAGGGGAGGGGAGTGTGTGAGGGAGCGGGGGTGTGAGGGGAGGGTGTGAGTGTGTGAGGGAGGGGAGCGGAGGGTATGTGAGGGTGTGAGTGTGTGAGGGAGGGGAGGGTAAGTGAGGGTGTGAGGGAGAGGAGGGTATGTGAGTGTGAGAGGGAGGAGAAGGTATGTGAGGGTGTGAGTGTGTGAGGGAGGGGAGAGGAGGGTGTGAGTGTGTGAGGGAGCGGAGGGGAGTGTGTGAGGGAGCGGGGGTGTGAGGGGAGGGTGTGAGTGTGTGAGGGAGGGGAGTGTGTGAGGGAGGGGAGGGTGTGAGTTGAGGGGAGGGTGTGAGTGTGTGAGGGAGGGTGTGTGAGTGTGTGAAGGGAGGGTATGAGGGGAGGGGAGGGTGTGAGGGGGGGAGGGAGGGTGTGTGAGTGTGTGAAGGGAGGGTGTGAGGGGAGGGGAGGGTGTGAGGGGAGGGGAGGGTGTGAGTGTGTGAGGGAGGGAGGGTGTGTGGGTGGGAGGTTGTGTGAGTGTGAGTGTGTGAGGGAGGGGAGGGTGTGAGTGTGTGAGCGAGGGGAGGATGAGAGGAGGGGAGGGTGTGAGGGGAGGGTGTGAGTGTGTGAGGGGAGGGTGTGAGGAGGAGGGGAGGGTGTGAGGGAGGGGAGGGTGTGAGGAGAGGGTATGAGGAGGGTGAGGGGAGGAGGGGAGGGTGTGAGTGTGTGAGGGAGGGGAGTGTGAGGGGTGTGAGGGAGGGTGTGAGGGGAGGGTGAGGGTGTGAGTGTGTGAGGGGAGGGTGTGAGGTGAGGGGTGAGGGGTGTGAGGGGAGGGTGAGGTGAGGGGTGTGAGGGAGGGTGTGAGTGTGTGAGGGAGGGGAGTGTGAGGGGTGTGAGGGAGGGTGTGAGTGTGTGAGGGAGGGGAGTGTGAGGGGTGTGAGGGAGGGTGTGAGTGTGTGAGGGAGGGGAGTGTGAGGGGTGTGAGGGAGGGTGAGGTTGTGAGTGTGTGAGGGGAGTGTGTGAGGGAGGGGAGGGGAGGGTGTGAGGGAGGGGAGGGTGAGGTGAGGGGTGTGAGGGAGGGTGTGAGTGTGTGAGGGGAGGAGGGGAGGGTGTGAGTGTGTGAGGGGAGGGTGTGAGGGAGGTGAGGGTGAGGGAGTGTGAGGGGTGTGAGGGGGGAGGGTGAGGTGAGGGGTGTGAGGGAGGGTGTGAGTGTGTGAGGGGAGGAGGGGAGGGTGTGAGTGTGTGAGGGGAGGGTGTGAGGGAGGTGAGGGTGAGGGGAGTGTGAGGGGTGTGAGGGAGGGTGAGGTGAGGGGTGTGAGGGAGGGTGTGAGTGTGTGAGGGAGGGGAGTGTGAGGGAAGGGTGTGAGGGAGTGTGTGAGGGGAGGGTGTGAGGGAGGGGAGGGTGTGAGGAGAGGGTATGAGGAGGGGAGGAGGGGAGGGTGTGAGTGTGTGAGGGAGGGGAGTGTGAGGGAAGGGTGTGAGGGAGTGTGTGAGGGGAGGGTGTGAGGGAGGGGAGGGTGTGAGGAGAGGGTATGAGGAGGGGAGGAGGGGAGGGTGTGAGTGTGTGAGGGGAGGGTGTGAGGTGAGGGGTGTGAGGGGAGGGTGAGGGTGTGAGTGTGTGAGGGGAGGGGAGTGTGAGGGAGGGGAGTGTGAGGGGTGTGAGGGAGGGGAGTGTGAGGGGTGTGAGGGGAGGGGTGTGAGGGGAGGTGAGGGTGTGAGGGAGGGAGGGGAGGGGAGGGGAGGCCGGGAATCGCTCACGTTGGTGTGTCCGGGGCCTGTCAGTGGCGGTTGCCGTGGGGGAGCCGCAGGCGGGCGGTGGCGGCGGTGGCGGTGGCGGTGGCCAGAGCAGCTGGAGGTGTTCCGCGGGCCCGGGGGGGAGCGGGTCGGCTCCGGGAGCTTTCCTGATGAAGTAGATGACGGGGTCGGGCTCGGGGGCGCCGCACGCCTCGCCGTTTCCCTCCGGCTCCGGGCAGCCGGGGGTCGGCAGCGGCTGGAACTGTGGCGCTGCCGCAGACAACTCCGCCATGTTCCCACTGAGTCAGCCCCACACTGTCACTGTCACTGCCACACACCGGCCCGGCCCGCCCGGCCCGGCCCGGCCCGCCCGGCACTCTCACTACCCCTAGCAACCACCCCTAGCAACTCACTCACTCACTCACTCACTCTCACTCACTCACTGTCACTCACTCTCACTCACTCACTGTCACTCACTCTCACTCACTGTCACTCACTCACTGACTGTCACTCACTCACTGACTGTCACTCACACTCACTCAATCACTCACTAACTCACTCACTGTCACTCAGTCTCACTCACTCACTGTCACTCACTCACTGTCACTCACTGTCACTCACTCACTGTCACTCACTCACACTCACTCAATCACTCACTAACTCACTGACTCACTCACTCACTATCACTCACTCTCACTCACTGTCACTCACTCACTGTCACTCACTATCACTCACTCACTGTCACTCACTCACTGTCACTCACTCAATCACTCACTAACTCACTGACTCACTCACTCACTATCACTCACTCTCACTCACTGTCACTCACTCACTGTCACTCACTATCACTGTCACTCACTGTCACTCACACTCACTCACTCACTGACTGTCACTCACTATCACTCACTCACTCACTGTCACTCACTCACTGACTGTCACTCACTGATTGTCACTCACACTCACTCAATCACTCACTAACTCACTCACTGTCACTCAGTCTCACTCACTCACTGTCACTCACTCACTGTCACTCACTCAATCACTCACTAACTCACTGACTCACTCACTCACTCACTCTCATTCACTCACTTATTCACTCACTGTCAAACACTGACTCACTCACTGTCACTCAGTGTCACTCACGCAATCACTCACTAACTCACTGTCACACAATCACTCACTAACTCACTGTCACACAATCACTCACTAACTCACTGACTGTCACTCACTCACTTTTTCACTCACTGTCACACTGACTCAGTCACTCAATGTCACTCTCACTGTCACTCACTGTCACTCACTCACTGTCACTCGCTCACTCAATCACTCACTGTCACTTACTTGCTCACTCACTCGCTGTCACTCACTCACTGTCACTCACTCACTCACCCACCTACCCACTTACTCACTCACTCACTTACTCACTCACTCTCTGTCATTCACTCTGTCCTCGCTGTCACTCTCTGTCACTCACTGTCACTCACTCTCTCACTCACCTACCCACTTACTCACTCACTCATTCACTCACTCACTCACTGTCACTCACTCCTTCACTCACACTCACTCTCACTTGCTCACTCACTCTCACTCACTCACTGTCACTTGCTCACTCACTACCCCTCTCTTCACTTATTCACTGTCACTCTCTGTCACTCACTCTCTTTCACTCACTCTCTGTCACTCTGTCTCTCACTCACTCTCTGCCACTCACTCTTGTCACTCACTCTCTGTCACTCACTTTCTGTCACTCACTCTGTCACTCACTCACTCACCCACCTACCCACTCACTCACTCACTCACTCACTCACTCACTCACTCACTCACTCAGTGTCACTCGCTGTCACTCACTGTCACTCGTCACTCTGTCACTCATTCAATGTCACTCACTCACTGACTATCACTCACTGTCACTCACTCACTGTCACTCACTGACTCTCTGTCAGTCACTACCCCTCTCTGTTCATTCACTGTCACTCACTGTCACTCACTCACTCACTCTCTCACCTACCCACTCACTCACTCACTCACTCACTCACTCACTCACTCACTCACTCACTCACTCACTCACTCACTCACTCACTCACTCACTGTCACTCACTCACTCCCTCACTCCCTCCCTCACTCCTTCACTCACTCACTCTCTCACTGTCACTTACTTGCTCACTCACTCACTCTCACTCACTCATTCACTCACTGACTCTCTCACTCACTACCCCTCTCTGTTCACTCATTCACTGTCACTCTCTGTCACTCACTCTCTTTCACTCACTCTCTGTCACTCTGTCTCTCACTCACTCTCTGCCACTCACTCTTGTCACTCACTCTCTGTCACTCACTTTCTGTCACTCACTCTGTCACTCACTCACCCACCTACCCACTCACTCACTCACTCACTCACTCACTCACTCACTCACTCACTCACTGTCACTCAGTGTCACTCGCTGTCACTCACTCACTCACTCACTCGTCACTCTGTCACTCATTCAATGTCACTCACTCACTGACTATCACTCACTGTCACTCACTGACTGTCACTCACTCGTTCACTCACTCACTGTCACTCAATCACTCACTCGCTGTCACTTAGTTGCTCACTGTCACTCGCTCAATCACTCAATCACTCACTCACTGTCATTTACTTGCTCACTCACTCACTGTCACTCACTCACTGTCATTCACTCACTATCACTCACTCACTGTCACTCACTCACTCACTCTCTCACCTACTCACTCACTCACTCACTCACTCACTCACTCACTCACTCACTCACTCACTGTCACTCACTCACTCCCTCACTCCCTCCCTCACTCCTTCACTCACTCACTCTCTCACTGTCACTTACTTGCTCATTCACTCACTCTCACTCACTCATTCACTCACTGACTCTCTCACTCACTACCCCTCTCTGTTCACTCATTCACTGTCACTCTCTGTCACTCACTCTCTTTCACTCACTCTCTGTCACTCTGTCTCTCACTCACTCTCTGCCACTCACTCTTGTCACTCACTCTCTGTCACTCACTTTCTGTCACTCACTCTGTCACTCACTCACCCACCTACCCACTCACTCACTCACTCACTCACTCACTCACTCACTCACTCACTCACTCACTGTCACTCAGTGTCACTCGCTGTCACTCACTCACTCACTCACTCGTCACTCTGTCACTCATTCAATGTCACTCACTCACTGACTATTCACTCACTGTCACTCACTGACTGTCACTCACTCGTTCACTCACTCACTGTCACTCAATCACTCACTCGCTGTCACTTAGTTGCTCACTGTCACTCGCTCAATCACTCAATCACTCACTCACTGTCATTTACTTGCTCACTCACTCACTGTCACTCACTCACTGTCATTCACTCACTATCACTCACTCACTGTCACTCACTGTCACTCGCTCACTCACTCTCACTCACTCACTGTCACTCTGTCACTCATTGTCACTCTGTCACTCACTCATTGTCACTCTCTGTCACTCACTCACTGTCACTCGCTGTCACTCACTGTCACTCATTGTCACTCTCTTTCACTCACTCATTGTCACTCTCTTTCACTCACTCAATCAGTCACTCAATGTCACTCATTCACTGTCACCCACTCACTCACTCAATCTCTCACTCACTCTGTGTCACTCACTCTGTGTCATTCACTCTGTCACTCACTCTCTGTCACTCACTCACTCACTCACTCACTCACCCACCCACCCACCCACTGACTCACTCACTCACTGTCACTCACTCTCCCACTTACCTACCCACTTACTCACTCACTCACTCACTCACTCACTCACTCACTCACTCACTCACTCACTGTCACTCAGTGTCACTCGCTGTCACTCACTCACTCACTGTCACTCGTCACTCTGTCACTCATTCAATGTCACTCACTCACTGACTATCACTCACTGTCACTCACTGACTGTCACTCACTCGTTCACTCACTCACTGTCACTCAATCACTCACTCGCTGTCACTTAGTTGCTCACTGTCACTCGCTCAATCACTCAATCACTCACTCACTGTCATTTACTTGCTCACTCACTCACTGTCACTCACTCACTGTCATTCACTCACTATCACTCACTCACTGTCACTCACTCACTCACTCTCTCACCTACCCACTCACTCACTCACTCACTCACTCACTCACTCACTCACTCACTCACTCACTCACTCACTGTCACTCACTCACTCCCTCACTCCCTCCCTCACTCCTTCACTCACTCACTCTCTCACTGTCACTTACTTGCTCACTCACTCACTCTCACTCACTCATTCACTCACTGACTCTCTCACTCACTACCCCTCTCTGTTCACTCATTCACTGTCACTCTCTGTCACTCACTCTCTTTCACTCACTCTCTGTCACTCTGTCTCTCACTCACTCTCTGCCACTCACTCTTGTCACTCACTCTCTGTCACTCACTTTCTGTCACTCACTCTGTCACTCACTCACCCACCTACCCACTCACTCACTCACTCACTCACTCACTCACTCACTCACTCACTCACTCACTGTCACTCAGTGTCACTCGCTGTCACTCACTCACTCACTCACTCGTCACTCTGTCACTCATTCAATGTCACTCACTCACTGACTATCACTCACTGTCACTCACTGACTGTCACTCACTCGTTCACTCACTCACTGTCACTCAATCACTCACTCGCTGTCACTTAGTTGCTCACTGTCACTCGCTCAATCACTCAATCACTCACTCACTGTCATTTACTTGCTCACTCACTCACTGTCACTCACTCACTGTCATTCACTCACTATCACTCACTCACTGTCACTCACTGTCACTCGCTCACTCACTCTCACTCACTCACTGTCACTCTGTCACTCATTGTCACTCTGTCACTCACTCATTGTCACTCTCTGTCACTCACTCACTGTCACTCGCTGTCACTCACTGTCACTCATTGTCACTCTCTTTCACTCACTCATTGTCACTCTCTTTCACTCACTCAATCAGTCACTCAATGTCACTCATTCACTGTCACCCACTCACTCACTCAATCTCTCACTCACTCTGTGTCACTCACTCTGTGTCATTCACTCTGTCACTCACTCTCTGTCACTCACTCACTCACTCACTCACTCACCCACCCACCCACCCACTGACTCACTCACTCACTGTCACTCACTCTCCCACTTACCTACCCACTTACTCACTCACTCACTCACTCACTCACTCACTCACTCACTCACTCACTCACTCACTCACTGTCACTCAGTGTCACTCGCTGTCACTCACTCACTCACTGTCACTCGTCACTCTGTCACTCATTCAATGTCACTCA